TGAAATTCTGAGATTGTACAATCACTATCGCACATACAGAAAGTCAATAAGGTCTCAGAAGAATATTTATATCAAATAATAAATGCAAAATTCTAATAAATATTAACTGTATTTATCATTCAATTCTGTAGAGAATATCTGGTGCAACTGATGGAAGCAAGTCAAGTGCAATTTGATGAAGAATTACTCAAAAAAGCTGAAGAAGAAGACTATACAAAATGTTGGAATATCAATGAGGAATGGAATAAAGAAGTAGGAAAAGTGAGACAAATTCGTTTGGAGAAACAACACCAAGAACGTAAACAACAAACTCTCCAAATTATTAGTGAGAAAAAAGAACGTCACAGACAAATGATGGAGAAAATTGAAGAAAGAGTGAAAAAAGCCAAGATCGAGGCGGATACCTTCATTACGCGTGAAAATATTGATCGTGCAATTGAAGAGGCTTTAGCTAATGTTGTGGATTATAATGCAGCAATTGATAAGGAAGGCAATTTTTATAGAAAAAATGTGACTAGCGAACAACAGGCTTCAGTTTAACAATGATAATTTCATTGGATAAAGTTTATTATATCCTTCGAAAAGACTTTTTCATTTTGCAAACCTAATATACTGTATGTAGAGATCATAATCATCATCGTTACCACCATTTATCTTAAAAAAAAAAAAAAAAAAAAAATTAAAAAAAATGACATTTTTCTATACATATTTTTTTTCCACATACAAGATTCTTACCACCCTACATCTACAACTTTTACACATCATACCTCACCATATCCTCTTTGGAGCTGGGATCGAAAGAGAAAGAAGGATTCAATTATTTCTCGAAAGTAAAAATTGTTGGGACAAAATTTTTACTCAACTCGGCAAAAAATTCTTTGGCATTTATATATAGATAATATATTTCTCAGATGAGACAACTCGACGGGTTTCTCGCATTTAATGAATTTCACTCGATTATTGAAATGCAATGAGAAATTTTGTAATGATGGATGATATCTATAAATTTGCCGGCTTGGCTTTTATTTATGTTTGCCGAACGTTGGTATTAATATTGTTGAATATGATTGAATAAATCCTGATTGTGTGCGTACAGTTTTCCTTGTTTCTATCACCACCAAAGTAAAATGAATCTAAATTATCCCTCCTTAAAATTATCGTACTGTTGTGATATACTTGCATATACTAATGATAATTTTAGAAATGAGTGAGTGCATTTATTGCATTATTTGAGACTACTACTATTTTTATCAATCATTCATACGATCATCATTCCGGATTACTAGGACTCAACACCTTAAGAATATTTCGCATCGTACAAAAAATTTATTCTTATTTGAAACATTGATCCTTATCTATTCGTATCATATTATTCTACTGTTTGCAAAGTATATTATCCACTTGGTTTTTTTTCCATTTTCATTCAAGAGATGGCACATTTCGGTTTGAAATGAAAAGTGTTGTAATTATTATTATTATTATTATTATTATTATTATATCATTGCAATATATTTAATGTTGAGGCTATTATTTTTTTCATTTGTTTTATGGCTAATTTTAAATAACATGATGAATTATTTGGCCTTGAAAGAATTCGACCACTCTTACTGCATTCTACTTGCTCCTTGATCTACATTAGAGAGCTCTGACGAGTTGTTCTCCATGAGATTCTTATTCAATACACAAACAAATTTGAGGAAAATCTGTACATCATACTAACAGATGATAGAAAGTATGAAACGGTATTTTGGTCAAGATGCCTCAATTAATATCAATGTAAACATGCATGTATTGTGGGTGTTTTTCTCCAATCATGAAACCCATGTTGATTTTCAAAGTTTCTATACTCTATGAAATTTACATTGAACATTCTCTTTAGAGTATCTCTAATCAAATAGTTGTCAGTCGTATATAACATATATATATATATATATATATATATATATATATATATATATATATATATATATGGTATATGAAGAGACACAACAGTAATTAATTGAATGAAGTAAACCATTAGTTCCAAAGTGAATGTCAAAAGTATTCGTACAAACTTTATTATATCTCTTCTACGGCTAATCTCAATCTTTATTTTTTAAGCATGAAAGTGATACTCGAGTACTCAGTAATCCAAAAGACTGATTCTTATTTGGTTCATTTATATTAAAATATATTTGTTTTCATTTTTTTTCCTTTTTCAATAAAATTTTGTTGTTTAAAAATAATTTTGCGATAAAATTTCATCTCCTCTCCGTCTAGTGATAAACTGTGACAGTTGTAGTAGTAGTAGTAGTAGTGGTAGTAGTAGTAGTAGTAGTAATAGTTGTTGTTGTTGTCAATGTTGTTGATTCAAGTGTAAATATTCTCAAAAAATTTGTACCTCATTCAAACCAAGACCGCAAGGTGAACAAAAACCCGCGTTATCTTGTCAGCAGGTGCAATTTTTTCATGTCAAATAATTTGAAAATTTACAGAGGAGTATTTAATAAATTACTCGATAGCACGAGGTCCATCAATGGGCATTGTATGGAGTACTTCATCGAGAAGTTGTAAAGCACGATGTAGATGTACTTCTATCCAACAGGGTGTTTCCTTAATACTTTGCCTTGGATAATCGGGACCCCAACCTTTGACAAAACTTAACCGTAAAATACAGAGTCGTCGGAGATCATCAACACCGATTCCTGCAGCTGCACTCAAACTTTTGGTAATGGGCGCTCCATGAGTCAAGTGACCAGCGACCGCGGCAGCTTGTGCAGCCGCAGCAGCTTGTGCAGTGGCAGCCTGGCCTCTCATTTGTTTATGACATTGGCGCAAATCAAAAACTTTAATGTAGGCTGAAGGATAAATTTTATGAACAGCGTCACCGGGAGCCCTTCCGGCTTCTCTGTCAAGATAATACGACTGAACAAAAACACTGTGTTCACTTTGGCATCGAAGCCAAACATCGCCCTCACCACGCAAGTCCAAAACAACACCTTTACCAATGTGAAGCCGAGCCCGTTCACTTTGCTCTGTCCTGTGAACATTGCTTAATGCACCTAAGCAGAATCTGTTTCCACCACTTGGATCAACGTAACCATCAACTGTCACTGTTGGACATCCACTACTAACTTTGAATGTTTCACCAACTTGGGTATCAAGTTCAAAATATCCAACTGAACACCAGTATTCTGGGGCTGGTTGAGTTGACAATAGTCCTCCTAAATTTCCGCTAACATCACTACCATGAGTACCCCAATACGAAGTTGGATGGAGATGTCGATGATCTGGTGGTTGCATTGTTTGAGTATAAGTAAGAGTATTTGCTCCGGTCCATTGTGGTGCACCTGTGTTGTATGGATTGCCTGCTGCTGCTGCCGCTGCTGCTGCTGCTGCTGCTGCCACGTTGAAGCCATTCTCATGATGTAAATGAACCGGCGATACTGGAGAACTTTGGCTTGTTCCAGCTGCTAAAGACGCCGTTAGAGCATCAACAGTTGATCCTGCACTTGTTTGATTTAGATCCTGCGCCGCCGGAGTACCAGTTGCGTAAAATTGATCAGAACTTTGGCCTTGGCTTGAATTTAATATCTGACTATTGCCACTTCCATTTGCTGGATTCAGTGGCTGTTGCGATTGTTGTGATGCTGTCACTTGTGGTTGTGATTGTTGTTGCTGTGGCTGTTGTTGTTGTTGTTGTTGTTGTTGTTGTTGCTGCTGCTGCTGCTGCTGTTGTTGTTGTTGCTGTGGATTTGCTGCCGGATGAGCCATTTGATGCACTACGGCTGTTAGTAATCAATAATACATTATTTTTCATTATTAAAATGTATATGTATATATATATATAGACCTAGCGCAGGTTGAAGAAAAAATTGACAACATTTAAAGCACAATAAAAATGATGAAAAAGAAAAAGTTTGCGGAAAATATGATACTTTACTTTACAACACTGTGGCTGATGATAAAATACGTACAATGATGCATGTTTCTTGTATTGATGTGATGAGGCGTTGGTATCCAAGTCTGTCTTGGACAGTTACCCTCTTCTAGTTTTGTATGAGGATTAACACCACTATCCCCCGTGCCCCCGCCGAATATACCCTCACCATTGGCTGTGCAAAACAAATTGAACAAAAAAGAGGCAAGAAAAATAATGCTAAGAGCAAAAATAAAATTACAAAATACAAGATGAATTTCACGATGAGAAAATTCAATGAAGTTAAAAAATTATAATACAAATTCTTTCAATCGTACACAAGAATATTCTTCAACTTGTCTCGTTAACAATTAATGCAAAGTACAACAGCACGTATGAAAAGCAATAATTGCATAATCAAAAGGTTTTGAGCTTGTGATGAATGTATTGTTTTTGATATATAATAATGAAAAAAACAAAAAAAAAAAAAAAAAAATGATAAAAGCGCAATATTTTCTGTATTTTGACAAGTAACCATCCTTAATTGTCACGTAGCTTACCTGCATTAGTTGCTGATAACGATGGCAAGTACTGTTGTGGATTCTGTTGATGGGAATTTGTTGATGCCGTCTGCTGCTGTGGTGGTGGATGATGTTGAATTGTCTGATTGAGTTCACTATCAACATCCATCCCCGTTGTGACACCAACTCCAGATCCAGCACCAGTTACTCCGCCCCCTCCAACTGTATACTCATCCTTAACAAGTCGGCCACCAGGACCCACACCAACGCCAGACTGAAGTGTTAATCCTGAGAGGTCTGTAAAGAACGGATCTGTGCGGGGGAAACGAACCCATTTCATCATACACTAATGCAACATCCATAACGATATAAAAATTTGAAAGAAAGAATAATCATCATAAAGTAGTAATAGAAGATGAAGATGAAAAAGAAGAAGAAGCAGTAGCAAAAACATAATTGTCCTTTCAAACTCGTACATACCTATTCCTGGTGATACAACTCTCTCATAATGATATGGATTCACACAGACGGAATCACACTTGAGATCAAAAGCAAATTGACAATATTTAACGTGTTTTAATTCATTTTTATGTAAATCCGGCCATCGCCATATCCTTGCATATATCACATGAGGAAAACCTTTTCGTCCTGCTACTTGTAATCTACCGTCAAGTGTTCTTTGTATTGTCACACATTTACTAGGATGTGCACCATTGGTTGTTATGGCAGTAATGAGACTGTCTAATTCGTCTCGTTTTTCCTTTAAAGAGAGAAATCCACAATTGTGGAGGAGTATTAATAATCTTGTTTAGAAAAAAAAAAAAAATGTATACATGTGCTCAACTTTACCTTGAGCTTTTTCACCAAAGATTCAATGGCACGTTTGCTGAAGCCTTCACTCTCCCCCCCTTGACGATGGCACATAAGAGAATGAACGATGCTGAGACAAGCATCAGCACTTGTCGGTGCACTCGGGGTAATTCCAGTCATTTCTCTCACTATCAATAATCATTCAATTTATACAAAATCGTATGGAACAAGTTCATTGTGAATTGAACAAAAAAAAAAATAGAAAAGAAAAGAACGCTAAAGCAATGTATATAATTTTTACACTCAGCATTGGATTGCATTTGGGGCGAGGGATAGAGATGAGTTCCCCCGCCCGCCAAACCAACCATCTCCGTGAAAGCCGTGGTTAAAATTAAATTTTTTTTTCTCCAATGTTTAGTTGTTTCCCTCCTCGTTTATAATTTGGTTCAAGTCTCTCGTTGGTGTAATTACGATGATACTTTGTCATCTAATATAAATCCAATTCTTGAAGGTGCCTAGTATGCCTTGATGACAAAAAAAAAAAAACAAAACAAAAAAACAGGTTAATGTTTACTCTTATATCTTCATTTTTTTGAGTTCATTGACATTTATTTATTGTAATATTCATTTATAATACCAAAACTTACAATGAAGCATAGAGAATGTTAGCCTTTGTGATAGGTGTGTGGCTAATTATAATTGATTTTTTCATTAAGAATTCAACAATCAGTAGCTCGCTCAGATTCCCAATCCCCATTAAGATACACCTCGTTATTATATATGCATACTATGCGAACGAAAAAAAATATGTATATTCTCACAGCAATCTTCATTCACTTTCACATTAAAATTCTGACATCGAAGCTGATGGAAATTTGAAAAATAACGTATAACCAATGACCAACAACTATCAATGACCATTAGTGGCTGTGTTGAGTACAGGAGAATAACAAAGCACAGTACTAGGATTAATTGATACTTCACTAACATGTACCATCTCTCCACAGTGGCGGAACGGCGGCACTATGAGGCCAACAGAGAACCTGATAATAAATAGCTACTTGGAATAAGAGAACGAGTTATATGTTCACGCGCATTTCACGGAAAAGCCGAGGGGAGAGAAGAAGTAATAGAACTAGCCCAAGTTGCGCCATATTGAAATCGACTTGCCAATTTTCGATGGAAAAAATGGCGGAAACTCGGAGAGCTCTGCGCAACAAAATTTAAGATGGATACTAATTCATACATATCTATATATATATATATATATATATACATGTGTGGTGCGTGCATACATATTTTTTATGTATGCACTCCAATCATCATCTCTCCATAAGCCCGACTAAAAATATATATGGCATAGTGGGGGGGTATATCACACATACATGACAAATAATTATACTATACTCTGGTAATAGCATTTGACAGTTGAGAAAATTAACAAGAGATTAATTTCATGAAAAATTCAAAGAAAACAAATGATGATGATTATTATTATTATTATTATTTTTATATAAAACAAACATGACTTTTTAATTTATTAATCAGTTAGAAAATTTCTGCTGAAAAGTCGATGAATTCTCGTGCCGTTGAAGCACTCCTCGATTTTATTAATTTAATGTAATCTTCAAATTCACCATTATGACATTGCCAATTTCTAATAATTTTTAAGACAGATGATTTCTTTGGAACTTGAACGGCAGGTTTGAAAGTCACACCGCTAGAATCATAGGTCTCATATAATTCTGATGGACACCTAGGGAGACAGAGACAAAAAATTTGAATGATACAGTGTTATTTAAATATTAACAAATAAATTCTATATGAAACTCACAGTTTTGAAATTTCCATTGGCAAGATTCCTTCACCGGTTGCTGGAACACGACAAGCGATGTACCGTGACATCTTCTGCACAATACTGTGATAATGTCTCTATAATAAGAGATAATTGAAAGCAATATTATAACATACTCATTGTTGTCGTTGTATTTTTATTGATTGAGAGAAACGAATAGTTAAATAATACCTGGAGAGCTGTCAATTCCCAAAGAGCACTACGATGTGCATTACAGTATTCAGGCTCGTCTAATTCAGCTTGATAAAATCCATCACCAGAAGTATTGTCGGTATCTAATAAAAGATGAGGATTTTTGTCGAGCTGCATGATTGATTTGATAAGACCGAGGAGTCCAAGTGTACCATGATGCTGCATTTGCAGAGCAATAGTCATTATTCTTTTAACAAATGCAATCAATCTATTTTGGGATACATTTTTTCTCCTATTAATCAACACTTGAAGAAGAATATTGATAGCAATGTAACAATCATCGTGAGTCTTTCCAGCATGAATATTAAACAGTTGTTTGTAAAGATGAATGTAAAATACATAGGAATCAATACTCAAAGTAGATGCTTGGCCAGAAAGAATTGTGAAGACAGTTTGAATACAATGAAGCTGTTCCCGTTGTCCTAGATTGCTATCCTTCATTAGTGAATTTATGACATTAACGAGATCTTGATAAAACTCCAAATTAATGCAGGCAGCAAATTTAGCTAAACCCTCGAGACACACCGATAGAATTTTTTTATTTGGTGTTCGTTTGAGGATTCTGAAGTAAATTGTAAATACAATGCTAGTTATTTCAGTGAGAATTTTGTCTTTCTTCATCTTGTTTTCGGTAGCCTGTGTTTCCAACATCTCTTTTTCAATTTCAGCCAATTTTTTATTTTTCTTTCTTTCTCTTTTACTCAGTGCCAGTACTCTCTGTTTATGATTGGCTAATTTTTTTTGCCTAGTTTCTTCTCTTCTTTCTTGATCCAAATTGACATCTTTGATTCTCAGAGATAATAAAACTGAAATAATTTCACAATTGACAGTTTGTTCATGCTGTTTTATGTAGTGATTCAATTTTCTAACAATAGCCAATGAGATTTCACCGCGTTTATCATCAGTAAATATCTGTGAGAAACATTGAAAAATTATTTCCCGTACTTTCTCATATCGATTGTCCAACAGTGGAACTAAAAAATTGGCAATATTTATTGAATAATTGAAATAGGGATGTGCAGTGAGTAATTGGCACAGACTGGTAACAGCCAGTTGACCTAGTTCAACTTGAAAATTATCCAACACTCTTGTGTCACCTCTTTTCCTTCTCAGTATGCCAGCCATTTTTTCCAATTTTTGTAGATAATTTTTGTAGCTACGAACGAGTATTTCCTCATAATTCCTCAATTCCAGCGTTTCCTTTTTGTATCTAACACCATCCTCTCTAGCTTCCGTATTAATGTAATAGGCTGGTAATAAATCTCTGAATACTTCAACAAGAGATACTATTGTCAATTTCTTAACAGTAATACACACTTCTGGATTAGTCTCGTCTAGAAAATCCAAAAGTACTTTAAAATTGTGGGCTTTTGCATGTGGATTCTCCAATAGACTGCTTGATAAAATTCCAATTTTAAGTTTTCGAGATTTTAAAATTTCATCACGACAAGCTAAAAGTTCAACTGTCGTTACTTTATCCTTTGTATCCACCACATTATCCACTGATCCAATTTCAAATTCTTCTTCTCTTTCACCATCACTGCTTTCCGTATTACTATCCATTTGAATTTTTAAATCATCACGTATTTCTTCTACAATACGGTTCTTTATCACTCCTTCCTTAGTCTTGACAGGTAACAATATACGAATTTTCTTGCCCTCCTCATTTTTTTCATTTGCATTTAATATTCTCTCTTCATAGACATTTTCAATACCATTATCATCATCATTGTCATTTCTCAATTTACGTTTCTGTTTTTTACTTCTTCTCGAACGGCATTCTTCTTCTCCATTACTCTCCTCGGGTAATCTTATTTTCCGTAATAAGTGGTACGATCTTGATGAAATGGCTGAATGTAAAAATTTCAAATCATCTTTTTCCACCATTTCCAATAAATCCTCACCCTGATCACTACTCTCCTCATTCTCAATAGGGACCTCAACTTTTTCAACAATATGTTTTTTCACTGATTGTGTCGATTTGCTACCATGTCTTCGCTCTTTGAGTTTCCCTTGTTTAGATAATTTATTTCTCTTCTGGTTGTTCCTCTTGATTTTGCTAATCTTCAATTGCTTACTCTTCGGTTTCTAGTGATGAATCAAATTATTCTTTCATTATTATTATTATTATTATTATTATTCAACAAAAATATCATTCACTCTTCACTCTTATTCAAGGTTATAATTGTTGTACAGACAAAAAATTACAATATTTACTTATTTTCTTATGAATATTACATACAACTGTTTTTTTTATTATACTCACATGCATATTTGCAAATGTTGATTGAAACAATTGTCTTTGTTATTATATTTCTTGTATATATACTGCACGTGGTCACAGAGAACACAAGCGAAGCACACACACACCCACACACACAATCTATACACTGGGTATGTGGCATATAATGTCGATATATATATATATATATATATATATATACATATCTACGCACGCTTACCGCGCTGAGGTATAATACAGGGACAAAACATGAAAGTCATCATATAGACATATGGATGAAATGATAATGATTATTACGTTTCAAATATTTGATTTTTATTCGTTAGAATTTACATACAATAACTTTATGTACAACGATGTGAAACAATTTCATTATGAATAATAGAATTTATTCAATTTATATTTTGTCCTTGAGACTCTGGAGAGTATTGTTTTCCATTAGCTGATGAATAGCTAATTGAACTCTGAGTTCAACACAGGCATCTTTTTCTTCGATAATACTCCGAATGAGTGTGGTCATTTTTTTCTATAAAAAAAAACAAAAGACCAAGTGTTATTGGTAAAGAAAAATGATGAGTATTATAAAGATTTAAAAATTGTAATAATTGAAAAAAATATATAAGAGGAAAAACACCTCTAAAAGCTGATTTTCCTTTGACAATTGAATCATAGCGGTAATTTCTGCCTCATTTGGAGAATACGCTCTTTCCTTGGATATCATTTGCTCTGGGCCTTTTTCTGCCAGCATGTCCATCAATTTTTTAATTTCCTTCTTTTCTTGCATGATTCGGGTTCTCAATAATGCCTCTGTATTTAATAATTCTTCATAGATGAGACTCTCGCGCACTTTTTCCATTGATAGTTCTTCTATCGGTGCTGAAACATTAATCATTTTTGTGTGATTATTCTTCTTCAAGTGAGAGAGAAATATAAATTTGAACAAAGAAAGAAAGAAAGAAAGAAAGAACCTTGTTGAATTTCCTCAACATTGTTGGATAAGTGCTCATCTTGCTTTTCAATTTTGAGTATTTTTGTACAAGGGTGATTGGTGATGTCTTCACTTGATGGAAATTGTATTTCAACACCACCTTCTCCAGGAGTATTCGGAGAATCATAATTTTCTTTGAATTGTTCGTGTAATTTTGGATCATTTATTTGAGTACTTCTCATTGTTACAGAAATGGCTTCTGTTGAATTATGAGTTTGATCGGTATATTTTTGTAAGCCATTGCCGTGATTTTCCTCATTAGATTTTGTATCTTCATCTAGACTCTTTTGAATCTGTCCCTCTAATTTTTGAACGATTTTATACTTTCGCTTTAATTGAGTTATGATTCTCTGAACTTCCCATAATTGTTCTTCACGTGACTTTGTAACAAAGCCAGCATTCATTTGCATATGTATTTGAGCTAGTAACGATTCCTGCTTCACCAGTTCTACAGCAATAGATTCTGGTTCATCAGGAAGATTGGCACTTCCCGACGGCAGTGGAGGAATGTATTTTGTCAATTGAACATCTGGAAATAGTGCTTTACAGTGACAGAGAAGAGCCAGAAGGAGTCTATGGCTCATTTGCAGAACTGGGCTCAATGTCATGGCTATTGTTTGAGCATTCATTTTGGTTGTTTTTTCCTATATATAAATTAATTTTATTATTATTATTATTATTATTATTATCATCATCATCATCATCATCATTATTTTCAGAAACTCGTATAATTGACAGACTTGAATTACAATACTTTACCCTGACAGTGATGTGATCCAAGTGCAATGTTACCCATGCCAGAAGGACTCTATTACACTCTGGTAACTGTTTCACTAATTGTGACAATTGTGATTCTCTCTGTGCAACTTCTTTCGTTGATGAAGCTTGTTCAAATCTTGATATTATTCCACTGTTTTCCAAAACTGGTTCGGGTAGCTCTCTGTAAATATACAGTAGAGAGAGAAAAAAAAAGATGGACAAATTGATTAAAATAAAAAAAGAGTAGATTTTTCCAACAACAAACGTACCCACCAACTCAAAGGAGCTTACTTTAAAAAAAGAACTAATAGACTTGCCGCAACAGCGGGTTCAAAATCCAGTACATTTACAGTTTCTCGTTGGTTATAAAGCTTTTTGAAATTCTGTACTTTGGATTTGACCCCAGGAATTTTATATAAGCCTTCCGTTGTCATACCAAATTCTTCCAAATAATCAATACAGTTACGAACAACTAGAGGTAATTCAACCCCGTCATGGCATCTGGATCGTTCAACAGCTGCGTGCAGACTCGCACCAAAAATTGGTTGAGCCTCTGTAACAATAAAAACATTATATTTTAACCGACCAATCACTTATAGTTAAAGACACATTGATGCTACTCTTCTTACCACCAATGTCAGCAACTTCATCGCTATGTTTACATTTCTTACGATCTTTCACTTTGTGCTTCAATTTGTCTTTATCCTTATCTTTATCATCTTTGTCACGTTTCTTCCTGTCCTTATCTTTTTCATCTTTATCCTTGTCCTTTATTTCCTTTTCCCGAGATTTTTCTCGTTTCTTCGAGGGAAATTTGAAAGCTTTGGATTTTTTTGATTTCGATGGGCTTCTAGGAGAAGCAAAGGGATTGAAAAAAAAAAAAAAGCACATAATTAATTTTGTAAGAAATGAGTAGATGGAACGAATAATTTACTTTGTTTCTTGATCCTCATCTGGTGAACTTTCTCCCTCCAGTGTGGCATAGCCGCGATCTTTCTTGTCCTTTTTATCTTTTTTTTTTCCACCCAAAAGCTCTTTCTTCAAATGCTTGTGATCATGTCCACCCTCATCACTAACTGTGATAAATAAATGTAATTATCACTTACATTGTTGTTACAGTTTAATGGTCGCCCAGACCAGAGGTTATGGTATTATTGATGAAATATACATACAATCGCTTTCATTACTCTTTCGTGCTGATTCTGAAGCGTACAGTCCCGGAAACTCCTTCTCCACATCTGGACTTTCAAAATCCATGCCTCTGTAAATTTCTATTATCAATTATTGACACTTTTTAATTTGACAATCTTCTTTCATGTACATGTTATCATATCTATAATTTTTCCCTCCCCCAATCTAGTTTCAAGAAAAAAAACATAGCCAGACAGACAAACAATTATCAGTCGGCTTTATACCTACTGTCGATGCATCAGTACACGTACAATACTTATGTATTATTTACTGACTGATGGCTACTTGTGCGTATTCATTCGTCGAGAGAGAGCTTTCTTGAATGTAAATTGGGTGACGCTCTATTCCACATTATTTGGATATAGAAATTTGCCCTTGAAATTCAAATACATACCATGACTGGAGAACAGAACATTACAATATTCAAGTAAAATTCTTCATTAATTTACAATTATATCTAGTCAACTTGAAGTATTATAGGTATTACACATATATTCAATCTTACCTAGGTGCAATAAACAAATTATGTTGAACTGTGACCCATTTGGAAACATATTTATAAGTATGGAATATATATGTACATGACATATCGACGAGGGATGTTACACAATGAGAATACATTATGATATTGGATTGCACATGGAAGGACCTTGTTGCAGTTCAAAAGCAGCAACTGGTTAACCTTGTTGTACCACCATCGGTTCCAACTTTTTCCTTTACTGAGGGTATGTTGCGTTTATACAAAATGTAAGCTTTACAGTATGTTTACTGACTGAGGCAGGCATCAATCCATGTAAACCGTGAGACACTCTAGTCTTTTTATAAAAAATATTCTTTTAATAAAAAAATTCTAATTCGAAATATTCTTTTCACTGTATGTCCATTGAAAAATGAAGTATTAATTAAGGCGAGCAGATGCAGTAAGTGAAAAATTTGGTTATTAATATTATTATTAATTTTTTAACCCATCTTATTAATAAGCTCAATATAGAATGGATACCATGGAAAATTACACCAATAGATTGAGAAAATTGAATGACAATGATGATTTTATTTCAACAACATTTTGGGACACTTGATCCGTTTATTAAATGAGGGCTAGATTATACATGAAAGTTAAGTAATGGTGCGCTTACAGTTGCACCATTTCGGATTGGGCGGTCCAGTGCGTTGACTACTCAGTTAACATTGCGCCCAACTCTTTAACGCATCATTAAATAAAGAGGTGTTTGATTTTACGTGGCCAAATACATATTCAATAGTATTTTACGAAAATCGTTTTTCTATATCGGGTACGTATCAACATTCTTTGCTTTTTCAACTAAAAGTCTCTAAAGATGATGTCTGTTTTCAATTGAAAAGCTCAGAGTTGTGACAACATTGTCCATCTTTAGAGGCATCAGCACGCTCTTTCATTTGAACCCAAAAAAACATTCATATCTTGTCTAGAGTTCAACTCTTAACTTGGTCCGCTAGGGACTGCATTGCCATAATTTTATGTGGATGACCTTAGATAGATGTTGAAATGGAAACGATAGCATAACATATTTGTATCTTGTTTTTTTGCTTTTTTTTTTTTAATTTTGGTTTCCTTTTTAGATCTCATTGGCTAGGAGAAAGAATGGTGCTGAAATACATTACATTTCTGTTGTTTCTCCTGTGGATAGTACTGGTTGATTTAACCAGTGCTTCAATTTTTACAAATATAGTGGAAAATATATACGAATATTTCCGAGAGTCCCCGCCGTCGTATAACGTGCCACTGGATTATGAGCATCAGAATGAGAAGAAGGAAAAAACATATTCATACGATTTTATAATAATAGGAGCCGGCTCTGGAGGATCCGTCGTTGCCAATCGATTATCAGAGATTCCCCATTGGAATATTTTACTTTTGGAAGCTGGAGGTGAAGAGATATTTTTGACTGATGTGCCACTCTTAGCGCCACTCATGCACATTACCTCTTACAATTGGGGCTACAAAACTGAACCAAGGCCAAAGGATAGTGATGGGAGTGGTGGATATTGTCTGTCCATGATTAATGGTCGTTGTAATTGGCCCAGAGGTAAAGCTATTGGTGGAACATCAGTAATAAATTTCATGATATATTCACGAGGATCTAGGAGGGATTTCGACCAATGGGCAGCTGATGGTAATGCAGGTTGGAGTTATGATGAAGTATTGCCCTATTTTATGAAATCGGAAAAGGCACATTTTATTACCCCAACGAGAGCTGAGGCGCAGAATAATGAGTCTGATGGCGGTGTAAATAAATCAATTTATGGAACGAATGGATATTTAGATGTGACAATAGCACCTTGGATATCTGCATTGCGCAATACATTTTTTGCTGCCGGTGAACAATTGGGCTATAAAATAAAAGATTCCAATGATGGTGATCCAATTGGATTTGGTACTAGTAAAACAAATACAAGAAATGGTCGTCGTGTTAGCGCTTCGAAAGCATTCATAAACCCCATCAGAAATCGTAAGAATTTCCATCTCTCGACATATTCAAGAGTAACAAGAATAATTATTGATCCAAAAACTAAAAATGCTATAGGAGTAGAGTACATAAGAAACTCCAACAGGTACATTGTCGAAGCAAGGAAGGAAGTGATTCTAAGCGCGGGAAGTATTAATTCCCCTCAACTATTAATGCTCTCTGGTATTGGACCAAGAGATCATTTGTATAATCTTGGTATTGATATAATGGAGGATCTACCAGTGGGTCATAATCTTCAGGACCACGTCAGTATGGCGGCATTAACATTTATAGTCAATGATAGTGTCACTATTGTTGAGCCAAGAATTGCTAGTAATTATAAAAATACATTTGATTACTTGGTAAGAGGAACTGGTCCTTTTACCGTACCCGCCGGTGCAGAGGCTCTAGCATTCATTAATACTAAAAAAACAAATGACTATGACAATAACAAATACATAATCCTTAATAATACCATTGATGGAAATGATGATGATGATGAAGCCGATATTGAATTGGTGTTCGGAATCGGTTCAATGGCCGGTGATGCTTCAGGTGCAGTGCGCAGTTTATTTGGCTTGTCGGACGATTGGTATGAAAAAGTTTTCAAGCAATACCAAGGTCAAGATGGATTTAGTATTGTTCCCATTGTATTGCACCCTAAAAGTCGCGGCCGTATCACTCTGAGGAGCGCCGATCCCTTCCATTCGCCGATTCTTGAGGCTAATTACTTTGAGAATGAACATGATTTACAAACAATGGTTCGAGGAATTAAAAAGGTATATGAACATTAATATATTCTATATGGAGAATAATACAAAATATTATTAACACCATTGTTTATTTATTTTTCTTTCTAAATAAATACACAGGCTATTGAAGTTGCTTCAAGTCATCCATTTTACAAATATAATACAACACTCTTACCGGTTCATTTCCCTGGTTGCACACATTTGGAATTTCAATCAGATAACTACTGGGCCTGTGTATCACGTCAAATTTCAACAACCCTGGGCCATTTCGTTGGTACATGTAAAATGGCCCCTCGAAACGCCGGTGGTGTTGTTAATGAACAATTAAAAGTTTATGGGATAAACAAACTTCGTGTTATCGATGCAAGTATAATGCCATTATTGATATCTGGACATACTAATGCGCCAACTTATATGATTGGAGAAAAAGCAAGTGATATGATTAAAGAGGAATGGTCATAGGGGATTTATTAGATGAGTAAAAAAAAGTCAAATAAACATATGATATTCCATTGAAATTTTATTTATAAAGTATAATAATCAAACAATTTATGATTATTTTTTATAATTGTATTGATTCAAATGACTCAAATAAATGAGTATCGAGGAGAAAAAGCAGATTGAAATCGATATGTCATTTGACATTGCCGATGTACCTAGATAGAAATAAAACATATTTTTTTAACTTTGAGTGGATATTTTTTTTCGTATTATTTTTGACAAATTAATCGCAAATTGTAAAAACTTTTACCATTTTCGCTGAATCTGATGCAATCGTCCATAGTTTCTGTTTGCGTATAGCCCTCAGCACAAGAGCAACTTCCTGTGGAAAATAAAAAAAATACTATTGAAATAAATCAAACACTCCAGTAGAGATGTAAAATTTTTCTTACCATTTATACAGTCGACATTGGTGACTTCTGTTTCATCTACAACAGTTTCAGGAACTGTTGGCTCAACGCATTGAGTTCGATTGATACATTTATTACCCAGCATATGGGGATCTATAGTGGAGAAGTGATGAGTATTTCTTCAAAAACTTGTCAATCAATTGTATATATTCACTATTCTATGTGATTTGAAGCACTGAATAGGATGAATGAAGTAAGATAAAATAATGATTGTAATATATGGCTTACTCAATTTTCTGAAACACACTGATCCCCGTCGTTTTAAATTAATCAAACATGTGCACGTGTTATCATTGTCACATTTAGAATTTTTAAGAGATGCAGTGCATTGAGAGTCTTCAATACATGGATCACCCATTGAATTAGCAGCTTTCAAGCAGCGTTTGCCATCACTGGAACGTACATAATCTATTTTGCAAATGCACGTGCCGAAACAATGAGAATGGAAATCTACACATTCATCATCGATAGTACACTGGTCGCCTAGAACTGGGTATATGGGCTGTAATAATGATAATAATAATAAGAATAATGAAGTAATGAATTCACTTACAAGCACTTTTCAGGCATTCTTTTCCATTGGCATGATGTTGGAGCGGGCAACTACAGAATCCATCAACACAGAAACTTGAAGAGTTGTCACTTGTACGACAGTTATATGAAGTCTGACACATATGTCCAATTTCTACAATTCATTGAGCCAATTCTTCAAATAAATAACATGATGATGACATAATGGTAACAGTAGAGAAATAAGTGAAAAAGGAAGGGCCCATAGTTTAGAAGCCACTCGCACCCACCGATAGATTCATAACATCTCTTTGGCTCAGGTTCGTAGTGAGATCCCTTGGTGCAGGTACATGTATTGTTCCGGCATTCTGCTTGAGCAGTGAAGGTCACATGGCACTGCACATTGGCGGTGCATGGGTCGCCGATTTCTGAAGCGACTGAAAATATAAAGTTCACTTTATATTCACATTTTATTAAATAACTCGAGGCAAAAATTATTTGCCTGGAGACAAGTAAAAGTTGTCTGTTGTTACACTAGGACGCAGCCAAGCGATCGTAATCTTGATTCCGACTTCCCGCAGTCATTGATACGCTTGAGAAAGCACGTTATATGCGCCGGTGTGTAAAAAATAAGCCCGCGCATCGTGAGATACAAATTCCAACAAATCCCTCGTTTTATAATGCTCCCCCCCCCCCCCCTTTATTAACTTACTTTTCAAGCATTCCAAAGCAGTGTCATTTCTGTTAACCAAATATCCTTCCATACAGTAGCATGTTTCATGATTCCAGCAGTAGGCATTTTCGATGCAATCCTTATCATAAGTGCAACTCGCCATTGTGATTTCTAGAAGGAAAAATGCATAAAGAGAGCTATAAAAAAAAACAATATAAAAATTATGAATCATTGTCAATTTGATAGCATGAATAAACATACGAGAATGAAGATTGCGATCAGCACAGGGATGATATACATGTTTAAAATTAACCGAAACTGCTAAACATAAATTCGTAACAATATTGTGGAGCAAAAATAATATGAAAACACTGGTATAGCCCATTAGTAAATTATCGCGGCTGCTTTATTTCTATATTGTTAGGAAATTCTCTCATGTAGTACTTGAAGCACTCAAATCATTGTGTCGACGATGAAACATATCATTTGATTTTTCCAAAGTATTTGTTATTCTAGTCTTATGAATAAGAACCACACCACTATATGCGTATATTCATATATTAACAAGTGTCTGCTATCAACTGACGAATTAACATCCGCATTTAACGTCGAGCGTATAACCGAATTCACCTTGCGTTATGTAATTAGCATTATGTTTACCCGGCTAAGATCTATCCACAGCTAGTTGTAATCATATGGACTATTTTGAATATTAAATAAGTAAAAAAAATAAAAAACAAAGCAAAGTTACGTATTTCTGTAAATTAGCTTCAAGCGCTTCTTGCAATGTCTTAACAACGACTATATTGTGTTTGTCTCTTCATCAAGGATTCTCCCTTCTCAGTACCCTACCCTACTGTACTGAGACCGGAGAAAAATGGTTCAACTCTTTGGCACCCACTTGTGTATTGACACACACACACACACACACACACAAACTCGCGCGTGCGCGCACACACGCAATCTTCATAAAGCAAATTAAATAGAGTAATAATTGAATTTTTTTTCCTTTTTTCCCTTGTCATTTATATGCCTGTAATTATATGAATGCGGTCTCATTTGATTTACTCACTTGTCATTGGCAGAAAAATACTTGCCGACAGCATGGCATTCATTCCATCAGTGATGAATAAAAAACCAATTGTTTGAATAAAAATGATGATAGTGTTACACTGAATACTTCTTCTGCTCCTACCTACCATGATTTGCCGAACAAGTCGGACAAACCTGTTGTTTAAGTTTCACTTATTGTGATGGCACTCCATGCACACCGCACAGTCTATGTTCCCTGAGAAAGTCTTGCTTCCTCTTACTTGTTTTCAGCTTTGCTTGGAGAAAGGCGGCACTACCTTTTAATATACACACTCCCTACGGACATTCGAAACTCAGATTGAAGAAGACATTCATTGTTCTCGTTTCCGCACAATGTACTGTTTTTACTCTGGTAACTCTTACCTGCAGAGAGTTACCAATGATATCTAATCTGGCCCCAGTTCCTCCTTTAAATCATATGTAAATGTATACGCATACACATGGTTACACACTTGAGAAACATGCACACGTGACACCGACATTTATCATAATAAATTTCGCTTTCCACACATAAAGAAAGAAATAATAAAATCCCTTAGCTTGAACCGTGACGCATTCTCGACAAATTTGAACCAACACTAAATAACTCCTTGGAGCTATATTTTTTAAGTAGGACGCCTAGAACTCATGAATCTTGAAAATCATGAATTTTTTAAATGATTGATTTTTAATTACTTTATTATTTCCGACTGATAATGACATCTAGCTGTTCATTTTTTTCTAGTTTGAAGCAATTAAAAATCTATTTACTTTTCTTTTCTCAATACTTTTGATATTGTAATTAGCCCCGACAGATAGTGAGAAATGATTGAGAAACATTTGAAACGTTTTTCAAAAAATTTGATAAATTATATTGTCTCGAACTCTGGTTGAATATATTCTGGAAATGTTTTAGAAAAGTACTAGCTTGTCATTTTTTTTCTCTCAACAATGAACAATGACTATATTTATATTGTTTATAATGCTGATATATTTCTATAGATTTTTTGGTTATTTAAAAATACGATCGCTTTCTCGGTATCATCATCATAACACACGCGCGACACGCGCGCTGTATAAGGCAAACCGTCTTTTCAGCATGCATATATTTGATACCTATTATTACTTTAGGTATAGCTTTGCCACCTACCTGTTATAATAATCATAGTGGACGCGAGTAAATCTTGAGAAATTATTATTGCTCAATGAATAATTTTCAAATCAAACAAAATTTTAAATCGAATTAAAAGATATATTGTAAACATTTTTCACTTTGTTCTTCTTTCCATTCTCTACATTTAAGATTATATCCATTCAATACTGTAATAATATCAAAGAGAACAATATTTAGTAGTAGGACAGCAAAAATACAAAAATTATCATTCAAAATCGTTAAAATGAATGAGAGCCGGGGCCCCGGCCACTTGCGGCCGAGGCGTCGCTAGTGTAGTATTTATTTGACACAATCGCTGTGTGACACAAATTCACGGCTATGTACAAACCATCATGTTTAATTATTGTATGTATTAGTATGTGATGTGAATTGATATTAAAATATTTGAGTAATGTGTTTCACCACGGCGAGAAGGATATTTTTTGTTACGTTTGTTTTTTTTTTCTTTTTATAATTTTCTAATGTGATGAAAAAGAAAAATAAGATTTAGGTAAGTAGTATTTTGATAAATTCTCAAAGAACACTATTATATCCCATTGATTAGTATCTCTCATTACTTACCATGCAAATATAATTTAAATCGTTATTGAGAAACAATTATTCATTGGTTTTTTATTTCGAATCGAAAAATGTATAAAATATCACTGTCACTGTCTATGCTAATGCTTTTCAAAACATAACCTCCAAGTTTAAAGGTTATGTTTTGAATAGCAATGGCTATTGGATTCGCTGTCCACTTGTAAGTCATCTTTATATAAATAATATAATAATATCGACGAGTATGTGAATAGTAGTAGTAATAATAATAATAACAAGTTTATGATAATAATTAATGTTGCAGGCTTGGGCAGTCAAAGTGTAATAACGGACTATAGTGGAACTATGATATTACGTGATTGTTGTGCATCTATCGCCAAGGTAAAAAAAGAGAAAGCAGTAAGAATAATAGGACAATGATTAGTTCAGGAGGTGGCTTATCCGGTATAGATGAAGCTTGCATCAAGGCCCAAGACATGATAAATAACGTGCTCTCCATAACAATGGAATGGAGGGATGGAGAAGCACAGGAGTCGAGTAGGTTTGACGGTGGCCAAGGTTTGACATCAAATTGTCATTCCCATAGCATTCAGTCTAAATTAACTAGATTATATTTAGAGGAATTGAGAAAAGTGCCCCATGCCACACCGGACTCAATTCTGAGTAACCTGGAAAATGAGTGTGATTTATTAGGACGATTGGTGGAACGTGAGGGCCTTCACACACTAATTGTTAATCTTTATGCCGGTAACAAAGGATACTCATTGGGTATAAGAAATAACGATAAAGTCACCAAGAATTCTAGTAAACTTGATAAAAATTCATTTGTCGCTGAGACACAACTAATGGGATACGAACAGGGAGAATTTTTGTCATGTATTGATAATGGTCAGTTACCTGCGGTTCTTGCTGAACAGCTCGAGCCCAGTCATTCACATTTATTTTACGATGGATGTATAATAGCTGAAGTGCGCGATTACCGTAAGGGATTTTCTCATAATAGAGCGGAAATTTATCATGTTCTTCTAAAACCAACAACTCAAAGTGTATTGTCTGATGTTTCAACGTTAACCAATGATGGTGAATGGAGTCACGAGGAGCGCCTTATCTTAGAATCACGTTTAATAGCGGCAACACAGGGCCCACTTTGTTTAGATCCAAATCCAGTTGGAGCATTGGCTTCGACACGTCTACGTAACAATAGATCATTGCTCACTGATACTCAATTGGTGCGTCAGGCTAAAAAATATTCTCAAGTTACAGTCAATAGAAAGAGAAAACTCGAACAATTATTACAGGTATCGGAATTTAATACAACCAATGAGTCAGTTATTGAGAGTATTGCATTAAATAGCATATCCAATAATTACAAGAGTAACAACAATAAAAACAACAACAACAACAACAGCAATAATAATAATAATAATGACGATGATAGTAACAGTAGAAATTCAATCAACAATCACAACAACAACAACAACAACAACAACAACCGCAGTAGCAATAATAACAACAACAACAGCAGCAGCAGCAGCAGCAATACATGCACTGGCAATGGACATGTTACAATACAACAGCTTCAGGAGCGCGTACGTGCCAAGAGGATTCAAGGAGGCCAAGGGGGACCAGGAGGACAGTCTTCATCGATAATCACTGCCTGCCCGCCACCTTCATTATTGAATCCACCACTTTTACCTCCAAGTACACCAGTTGATGTTCTGAATTATGCTAAAGCATATGAGAGACCTCGGGAAACTAAAGACTGTCTGGCCCAATTAATTGAGGAATATATACTTGAGACTGAACGAGGCCAGGGGCGTATTTATCATATTAAATTATCTATTCTTCAGAGGCCATCGAATTCCGAATATTTGGGTGAATTGTATGTGGATCGGGATTATCGTGAAGGTGAACGAAATGGCTCGTCATGTAGATTTACCCTTGGTACAAGAGTTCAAGCTAATCATTATATGCAACAATTTACTGAAATATTCACTGAAGAGGGGAGAAAAAATGTTAGGATAAAGCATGTTGTGCCAGGTCAAGCACCCCGTGTTACATGTACACCAGGAATGCAACGGGCTCAACAGCAACAGGCTCAGCAGTTGGCGATTGCTCAGCAATTTCAACAGCAAATACTATCAAGAGCACAAACTCAAATAGCTCTCAATAATGCCACCACTGTATTAACTAAGACACCTCTCGCACTAGAAAGATTATCATCATCATCATCATCATCATCATCATCAGCGGTCAATTGTCAACAAAATGAGGGCATTAATAATTCATCAATATCTACACAACAAACACTCCAAACACTCAAATCTAATGAGCCTAACATAGTTCAGTCACTCTCAGTCAATGGTTTAGCCAGTGCTCTTGGTCCAACGCCTGATGCTACTTGTACCACCACCGTTATTAATCCTTCCGTATCAATTTCTACTCCTTCTGCCACCTCTCAATCATTCGCCGCATCACTCTCTTCCGATTCGGCTCCTGTGAATTCCATTAATACGCCTGGTATTCTTGTTTTTCAACAAAAATCATGTCCCCCCCCAACAATTAATAATATCTCTCAGTCTACTAATGTACCTGTTTTACAAGCCCAACTTCAAGCGACAGCTCAAAATACAATTACCTCGGAATCTACAAATCAATCGGAAATTACATTCAAAAAACATTCAACTAATCCTGCGATCAGTGCTCTCGTTACTTCACTTATGAACTCGGCCCAACAGTTTCAACAGCAGGCCGCGGCTAATGCAGCCGCAGCGGCATTGAGTAATGCAAGCCAACAGTCACAACAATCACAGCCACCGCCGCCACCTCCACCGCCACCACCACCACC